TTTTATTTTTCCTTTTTGCTGCTCAATGCAACATCCTCCACCCGATCCTCCATGCGAGGTTGATCAAGCCATAGGATATTTAGAATATTCTCGTTTTGTTATAGCTGCAGAGCTGCATGGTAACATAAGATTTGTCAAAGACCCACAAAAACTATCAATTGGAACAGGAGTATTAATCTACCACCGATGCGAATACGAAGGCTGCCCAGCAGGCTTTAAATTTATTAAAAATTTCGACAATTACATTTTTAAATCTGCAAACTTAACTCATATTCACTCAGGACCACCACCACAACATAAAAATACACCTACAAGTGGTACTTACCGTGCTTGGATTAAAAAATTTCTCATGAATCACGGAAGTCCACTTAATGCAACACAAGAAGTCAACAAAACGCTTGAAATACCTAAAGATCATACTTGTATTCACATGACTATGAAACAAACTGCAATCAATCAATTGAAATATTATTTACAACAAAAAGATCTTATGAGATCTTTAGCAGACGAGTGGGGGACAAACTCGCCCATTGTCACTTTTCATTAACCTTAAACTTGTAATTTTCATTATTTTCTGAAATTAACTTTAAAAGTACTAAGTAAGATCATGAGATATAGCAATATATGTTTAAACCAACTTATATTTTGGTTGTACACCACTTGTATGTGCCGGATACCATTGTGTCAAATTTTTTCTGAAATTAACTTTAAAAGTACTAAGTAAGATCATGAGATATAGCAATATATGTTTAAACCAACTTATATTTTGGTTGTACACCACTTGTATGTGCCGGATACCATTGTGTCAAATTTTTTCTGAAATTAACTTTAAAAGTACTAAGTAAGATCATGAGATATAGCAATATATGTTTAAACCAACTTATATTTTGGTTGTACACCACTTGTATGTGCCGGATACCATTGTGTCAAATTTTTTCTGAAATTAACTTTAAAAGTACTAAGTAAGATCATTTATTTTTGCATAATATAATGCCAATATGGTTTCTTTTGATTTTATTTCATTTATAAGCAAATCAGATTTACCCAAAAACTCCACTCCATAAGCGTTCATTTGCTAAATTAAAAAGTGACAATGGGCTAGTCTGTCCCTTTCTCTTTAGCAGACATATCTTTAAATCAATTTCAATCTTTACAAAACTATGTTAATCAATGGGAAGATCAACATGATGACCTTATTTATTTTGACATTCAAGGTGAAGATACTGATTTTCCAGACAAATTGGTTTTTATTTACTCTGATAATGATATGATCTCTCAAATTCATGAAAAACCACCAATTTATCACTTAGACTCTACGTTTAAATTAATTATTCATGGATTTCCTTTTTATGTATTAGCTACCAAATTTGCTAATACTCATTCTATCCCTTTGTGTTATTTTATAATATATCCAGATAATAGTGAAAATATTTCTTTTTGCTTAAGTAAATATTTTGAAACAACTCACACAGAACCTGAATTTATCATGTCTGACTGTGCACTAAACATTTTCAACGGATTAGGAATTCATTTCCGGAGTGCAATATCTTTTGGTGCGCGCCACATGTAATACGCGCACTTAAAAAGAATCTCTCAAAGATAAATGATGAAGAGATTAGATCAGAAGTCGAAAAATTTATGAACATTTTATGTTATTATCGTGATTGCACAGAAGAAGTGCTGCAAAAATGTATAAAGAGCACATTTTGATAAAATTCAAGATCAATTGGAATTTAATCAATACTTTACACGTCAGTGGGACATTCATAAACAACAGTGGATAGCCGCTGCCAGACCAAATGAATTAACCGTTGTGAATAACGTTTCTGAATCTTTATTTAAAAAGATAAAATATCACGATTTTGGCTGCGTTAAAAATCAAAGAATTGATGTTTTTGTCAAAAATCTTTTAGAAGAAGTTGCACCCAATTACTTTTATCGTATTAAAAACGATTTACTTCAAACAGGTTTTATTCCTTCAATTAGAATTCGCGAGCCTCGATTGACAGATTATAAACAAAATTGAAAAGAGAAGTTCAATCACGTTTATACCAAGTATTAAATTTTGTTCAGAATCAAGAGCCAATTTGAATCCATTAAGATTTTTATTGGAAAATGCTGAAGAAAAACTTTCTCAAATAAATGAGAAGATACAAAATTCAATTACATATTTAAGATCGTTTGAAATTCCAAATGAATTGTTAGATACGTATATGTTAGAAATTAATGAATTTTGTTATAATTCTCCAGATTATATTTTAGAACATTTCGAAGAATTTTTGGAGGATTTCAAAGAAAAGAATAATTTAATAGACTAAAAAATTTATTATTTTTATTTATCGTGAATTTTAAATTGTCACTTTTTAAGTGTTACTCCCTATTGAAAGTGTCACTTTTTGGGTGTCACTTTTTCGGAAATTCTTATATACTCATTCAGATTACATTAAAATAAACTACTTTAATTGTGATCAAAATTGTAGGTATTTGATCATTCGAGTTTTATTTTTACAGTTTCCTCAATATATTCATAACTTCCCAGATTTATTCTTAGTTTTCATTATTTTACGACGACGAAATCATAGGGACAGAAATTCTTCGATATACAACTCATGTGGATGTAGCATTTAATGAATTAAATGATTCTCAAAAAAATGATATATTCGAAACAATGAAATTGCACTACGGCGATAATAATTATTCAATAAGAACTTCGATGTTACTTGCAATTCTCAAAAACTATAAACCTGCAGGAGAATATTGTTTGGATATAACCAAAAATTATTGGCAAGATATCGAAAATAATTCACCTGATATTCAGTTTAAGGCAGGTATCATTCAGTCCATTATTAACATTGACGAGCAATGTCTTATTGAACTATTCAAAATTCATTCGATTTTTACAGATCAGATTTATTATCATATCAGAAAATAGCGTTTTTACAGTCTTTTATGACTTTTTTATTGACAAATTAGAATTTTTATTTTCAAACGTTGAAGAAACCATGAAAGAAACTATGAAAGAAAAAACTTTATTGTTTATATTAGCATTTCTTGCTGTTTCCTCTGAAGAGAACATGATCTTGTTAAGAAATTTAAAAATCAAATGGGAATATGCTTTTCGATTTGGGATCCATTGGTAATTACCATGGCTTCCCATGTTATTGGAATTGGATCCAAAAAAAATTCAAAAAATAAAATACGATAGTAAAAAGTATAAAAATTTTGATGAAATTTATTTTTCAATTTTTTTTGGAATATTTGTTAAATTTGAATCTATTTTAAATCGGTGTATATACAAGAAAAATGATATATATGTCACAGTGATAGATATATTAGAAAATTGAGCAATGAATGATTTCAACATACCAAAATTTTCCATTAATCGTCAAATTTTTACCAATTTTTCCCAATAACCGCCATATTTTTACCATAATTTCCTTCATTATTTTTAAAAATTATAATATGGTATTGTAAAAGAAACTTTTTTATCAAATTGATAAGCAGATTTTTTTACAAAAAATAGGCATTGTGAAACTTGTAATCACAGATGAACAATTTAGGAAGTCCAAAACATATTCTGAGCTTAATTCGTAAAACTAAAAATTTTATTTCGTATTAAATATCGAAAAATTATTATTGGAGCGTGATGTAACATATTGTTTCTTATCATGAGATAAAGTGAATATTATCGTAGAAATCCGTAGATTTAGAGTTTGAGTTTCGAATTTTCACCGAATATTAACTACCACCAAAAGGCTCGGGCTACTTGAATATTTCGAGAAATGTGCAACCATGTCTGCCATCGATAATGGCGAATTCGGACATTTAAAATTATTTACTTCAAAAAAGTATGAAACCATAAGAATTCATACAAGCCTTGACCACTGATGCATATGCCCATATAACAATTATGAAAAATCATAATTACAAGCCATATAAGCTTCATATGACATATGAGTGTCAAAAATGTGAGGATATAAAAGGGAGAGTATCACTAAGTCTCCCAGTTTAGTCCACTTTTTGATGGAAAATAACCGTTTTACACCAAGGGATTTTTTCCAGCAAAAATTTGGGTACGTTAAATTGATGAAAAAGTTAGATGAAAAGAAAATTGAAAACTTTTTTTGATTTTTCAAACCTCAGATTTTGTTGTTTAAAATATAATAGCAATACTTATTATCATATAAATAGTAATATGGAATCAAAATTATCCGATTTTTGTTGAAATTTGATTAAATTTGATATTAATCTGTAATGCACAATAAATCGGTTGAACTCATTTTTGACACTTTACAATTTTTTAAAATATATTATAATCATATTATTTATATAACATAAATTAAATTTATCATTTTTTTGTTGTGAATAAAATTTTCAATTACTTAATCCATACAATTATATTTTTATTTTAAAATATTAAATGATATTTCATTGTTTTTTAAATCAATAATCAATAACTTCACAAAAAGTGAAAAAATGGCTGATCAAAACCATGAACAAGAACAAAATCCATATATGATCGCGTATATGGATTATATTATATCGAAAAAGACAGCAGATGAAGTTGCCAAGGACCTCCATATTGGCCGTAGAAAATTAATTCAAGAATGGAATAATCTTGGATTGCAACTTAAAAAAGAGGCGGTCAAGAAAAACCATACAGGGAAGACATAGTCCCTATCATACATACCGAAAAAGCAAAATTTAATCTCGGATACAAAAAACTTTTCGAAAGTTACATCCACAATGAAGATGTAAGTTATAACGATTTACGAAAAATATATGAAAGGGAAGGACTATTTAAATTCCGTCGCGAAAAAGAAAAAGAAGACAAACATCCTAATCAATATGTCGCAAAATTCGTTAATCAGCAGTGGCACACAGATTTGAAGAGTTTTAAAGAAACTATTAACGATAGAGTTCATAAATTTTATTTAATCGCGTTCATTGATGACCGTTCACGATATTGCATATATTTCGAAATATTAGAGAACAAAACAATGGAGAGTACATCGAGAGCTTTACAAAACGCAATCGATTACATTCCTATCGTTCCATACGAAGTTTTATCTGATAATGGAACAGAATTTGTCGGCAGACTTTTCCAAGATGTACTCAAAAGAAATGGTATAAAACACCACAGAACAGAGCCGTACAATCCACAACTCAATGGCAAAGTGGAGCGTTTCTGGCAAACAATTTTCTCAGCGCGCAACAAATTTATTTCAATTAGAGAACACATTCCGGCAGCAATCAAATAATACAACGAAGAATGGGTACACACATCCTTGAAAAAACTATACGGAGGGTCACCAAGACCGAAATCTGTTTGGGACTCAGAGCACAAATGGAATGAAACCATGGATCCAGAACCTGGCTTCGAGGTAGAACCCAGATAATATACAAATTTTGGAATAAAAAGTTTTTTATATAATTTATAATTTTTTTCTCGTTTTTTTTTAAAATACACAATATGTATAATTCAGTATATGTTACTGTTTCATGTTTGAATATGAAAAAATCTCAAATACTTGTGAATATGGGACAATTGCAGCAATTAAAAAAATTGAGCTTTAGACGAAAGTTTGTTGAGTAAGAGATACGGGCCAAGGGTCAATACCTTCCAAGCATACGTTTCAACTCAGAAACTCATAAAGTTAGTCTGAATAACTTAACATTTCAGGTCAAATATCTCGTTAGATAAAAAGAATTAAAGAATGGGAGGGCCTTGGTTTATATAAGTATCATAAAGCCTACAAAATAAAGAAAGAAGTTAGGAATTTGATTGAGAGAGATATATAATTTAAATGAATTTTTAGCCATTTTGGCTGGGAATTGGAGGGTGTGAGTACTATTCCATGAAATAGTTTCTCACACCCTCCAATTCTTCCTATGGCGTTGAGAAAATTTTGGTGAAATGCGACGACAATTCACCAAAATTTCTCGACGCCATAAGTATTTTTTTACATATCTATTTGTTTCGAATCAAATTCTATTATCCCATAATACTATAATTTTACAACAAACCCTAATCCAAAATTTGCCATGTAAATCTTTTTTGACATGTAAACCTGTTACTTTTTGTCAAAAGTGAAGTCAACCGAATTTCTATGAACAACAAATTTGATATTAATCAAACCTCAATTTTGTAGCCCCAAAATATCTTAATCATACAATTATAATATATGCTTGATAAAAGTATTAATCTTGATGGCTAATTTTTGATTTATATCATATTTTGTATCAAAAATTAGCTATTTAAACTCTAAACTCAAATGATGATTGTATGATTGATATGAGGATAATGAGCATATTCATATATCATTCATTTTAAGGATTAATATCCAGTTTTATTATTTTACAAAATTATTTATAATCTCAATTTAAAGTTGAAATTCTAATAAGATATATTTGGGTGTTTTAAAGGAAATCACATACTTATATTTTTGTGTCGCGAATCATCGAATTTTGAAATTTTTTTGAGCATTCAATTTAATTTTTAATAGGTCCTGATTGGTTCCTTTGTTTTAATGTTGGTTTATATTGTTGTGCATGAAAATTCGGTTCACTTCACTTCTGACAAAAGTGACAAGTTTACATGGCAAAAATATATAGGGTATTTTTTTTTAAAAGTAGTTATCTTTATATATAAAAATAAAACTTTTGATATATTTGAGTAAATGATTTATTAATTTATTTATTTATTTTTTTTAAATCAAATCATATAAATATATATATATATAATAGTGAAATAGAACAAGAGATAATTATTGATGATTAAATTGTAGACGAGGATAAAAGTTTAGATAAATTAATAAAATTAGTGTGGAATCAGACAAATTTCGGGTTGTTTGGGAAGGAATTGTTGGCTATGATGTACTGATTCATGATCAGTACATCATAGCCAACAATTCCTTATACAAAGTTCAAAAACTTGGGTGCAATCAGTTCTGATTGCACCCAAGTTTTTGAACTTTCTTGAGGGAATGGAAGAGTAAGAGGTATACATTATGAATATATACCTCTTACCCTTCCATTCCCTCTCTGACAGCGGGAAACTTTGTCTGAATGTTAAACTATTCAGACAAAGTTTCCCGCTGTTTGCGAAGGAATTGTTGGCTATGATGTACTGATTCATGATCAGTACATCATAGCCAACAATTCCTTATACAAAGTTCAAAAACTTGGGTGCAATCAGAACTGATTGCACCCAAGTTTTTGAACTTTCCATTAACAATTGTTCAATCACATTTATACAACCCAAATCTATACCAATCATACTCTTATTCATACATCATATTTTAAAAACTTTTTTGCAATATGATGTTATTGCAACAATTTTTTTTCTTTTCTACTTCCAATTAGCACCTTAAAAACATTAGACACAATCACTGGCTCATATGCTCCTATTCTGAATCTAACACTATGCAAATTTATACAATTTCTCCACAAATCTTACATTCATTTTAATTTCAACGACCATTATTACCACAAAGAATCTTACCTTCCCCTACAAAATCTAACTATCTATCAATTTAAAAAATGTTACAAAATATTAAATGAATTTTTTTTCTATACGTAATTTAAAGTTCTTAAACTCTCAGCATCAGAATATCCTTACATAGCTTAGCTATATATCGTATTACTTTATGAATAAAAAAATTATTTAAATTATAATAAAATGTTTATTCGTATTTTTACTTTATTTTTAGTTACGAGGCTGTATTTCGAACTCAGGATTTGGGTTTAAGTCCTTTGTCCATTTAGGACCCTGGTCCCAAATTGATTTTGGAGTAGGTTTTCCACCGAAAAGATCTTTAAGAGCTGTATGAACCCATACTGTGTTGTATTCTTCTATTGCGTGAGGTAAAAATTCTCTTATTTCGATAAAATCTGGGCGAGCCGAAAAGATTGTTTGCCAAAAACGTTCTATTTTACCATTCAACTGTGGTGTGTAAGGTTCTGTCCGATGGTGTTGAATGCCATTTACTTGAAGAACGTTTTTGAAGTCCTTTCCTGTAAATTCGCATAGATCCACTTCTTGTCTTTCCATTTTTTTGAATCAATTTATACAAATAAACTTATAAAACACAAAATTATTATTTTATAATATAATTCTTAGATAATACATCCGATATGTAAAGTGTCAAAAATGAAGTGAACCGAATTTTCATGCATTACAAATGTTGGTTTATATGATCTTTAAAAGTGTTTTCAAAACCTATTTTTTCCCAAAAAATTTTTAATTTATTAATAGAAATATATGCTGATCATTTAATTCTCATTTTCCCTCAAAATGAAGTTTACAAATGTCAAAAAATTGAGAGGTGTCACTTTTGACCAATTTCTGTTTATAACTATCGGAAGTATGAAGTTAACAATCTCTGGAGTTTGAGTGAAAAGTTGAATAATAACATTTAAGAGGCAAGTGGTTGCAAGATTGCGAGGCCTACATAATTCATTGGAACTAATGAAAATGTTGGTGTTTAATTTTTTATTTATTTATTTTTTTGAATTCGCATAGCACTTTTTCAATTGGTTGCATTCATTACCTTCATCTTTACACTCTAGATCAAATAGATCTTAATTGTTCATTGAATGCAACTAGATCAGATAATTTAGTAATGTAACCAAACCCTCGCCTCCAACTGATGGTTGACTAAAACTTACACCGCTCTTAAAAAGTGGAGGCTTTTTGTAAGCTCTCACCTGCAGAAATTAGGAAATTTGAGAACTCGATTTCACATCTAGGAAACGATTTTGGAATTAATCTGTCTAATCTGAAGGAATTTCTAGATTTTCAAATTATCTTATAAAGGACAGATTGTCTTACTTGAAGGAATTGGCAAAGTTGTTCTTGACTTTGGTATGTACAGAAGTAGCATAATATGATGAAAAGCTGTGTTAATGGTAAGTACTTTGAAGGTTTACCTCTGAAACCATATGTATTGGTTATGTTTAATAGTTGTAACATCAAAAATTGGCAATGAATCACTTATCTCATCATCATGTGCTGCATGTATTTATTGTTCCTTAAGCTCTTCTTTAACTTCGTTGCAGGTTTTTAGAATCATATCATGAAGTTATCCGGAAGCTAATTGAAAATGCTTTGAATTTGCCTTTTAAAAAAATAATGTCGCATACAATTATCCATATATATAAGTATATTTGAACCATTAAAATGTAACCATCCTTATCCATGAATTGTAATTTTTTATGGGAGGAACCAAGCATTTTCTCTGTTGTTCGTTGTCACTTTTTAACATTAACAGCAAGAGATTTACAAAGAGATAAAAACTTTTTGATCCATTACAGATCTAAGACAGCATGCTACATTAGAGCAATTGCCTATGTATGCTTTTCTGGATCAAAAGTAATTCTAGAAGAATCATTCTTTCCGGATTATTGCCACTTTCATGACGAATAATCATCATGAGATTGAGCTTTGAAATGATATGCCTCGTGGAATCAAAGTCATATTTGTGATGACATAAGTTGCGAATTTCTCCGTTGAAATGTTCTTCAGTGAGAGTTATGAGATGAGAGAAGTTAAAGTTTTCATATTCAGAGGTCTCATTGACAAAGATCACAAGATAGCATAACTTAGCCTTCATGTGCTCTTTATCTGTGAAAAAAGTCCATGTGTGTTTCTCTTTTCCTTTTCCCATAGAAAAGACTTGAGAATTGATATTACACCTATCATATGCTCTCAACAAATAGAAAGTCATGTACAATGTGTAAGTGAGGAGATTAATTCGTGATTTTCTGTCAATTTCCTAATTATGGATTGCTTCAAGCCAGAAAGCAAAAGGAAGAATGTGGTAAGACGAAATGGTGGAAGTGAGGCATATCTCAATATTTTCACCAGATCTTCAGGCATTTAGCATGGATATATATTTGTTATCATGATTTGTATTTAGTTTTAAATTTTCAAACAAAATTGAACAAAAAATACACTTAGAAGATATTCAGCTCTGATCTCAATCTCACCACACTCACACACAAAATTCGTTCGATCAAAATTCTCTCGGGAAAATGTCACCTTTTTTATCATAGAATCTCAAAAAATAAATACCGTGGGTTGAAACGATAGGTACCGAATTCAAAAATTTGGTACCAAAAATAAAAATTCTATAAATTATCAAAACGTGCTCTATCAAATACTCTCAATTCTTGAATCACACTCAAAATTTGAGAACTCTGGTCTCTCGCATTTTCACTACCCGACGATTTTTTTTTCGTGAAAAATTGATGGAAAATTGGTGGTCCTCTGCTTTTTGAGTGGGTTCCGTTTAAAAAAGTTGATGAATCCTCAGCTAGCTGCATTCAAGCAACTACCAGAATATCTAGAATTAGATCACTATGTAAGGCAGAACATCCTTACAAGAGATAAGCTCGATATTCTGGAAAAAGAGTTAGCGGACAAACATACAAGCAAAAAAAGTTTTTATTCAATCAACTCAAACACGGTGACGCGCGCCCTCCTCAGAACTGCTACCTGTTTGAAATGGCAACGTGGTATGAAAGGGGGTGGAGTGACCTTACTCTCAGCCCCAGACGAGATTAAATTCAAGAACCTCGTCAATGAGATGGCAAACGAGCTCAACTGTATAACGACTGCAATGGCTCGTGCAGTCGTATACGAGTTGAATGAATACCGCCTCAAGTTTGCATCACGAAATTTTGATTTGCAAATTGCCCAAATCTTGCTTTGCGCCTGAAAGATTATGTTCAGGAACCGAGCAAAGGTTGGCTGAACCATATGGCCAAAAGGCTCGGCATAAGGATCTGCAGCGCGCAAAGCATTGATGCTTTACGGCGAACTTCTTGTGATGCTACCCAAAACATATCGCGAACATGGACGAATCAACGGTTTCTTCGAAGCGGAAATTTCGTGTGCTTTCCTCCAATGCCAATCGTCCTGTACGTCCAGAACATTCCCAGTTTCCCCACATAACTGGAGTCGTAACGATTTTCGGGGATGGAAGTACAATGCCACCAATGTTCATCTTGCCCAAAAAGAAGAAAATCGATCCCCAACTCGAGGCATATGATGCTTTCTACACGATGTCTTCATCCGGTTGGATGAATCGTTTTCTATTTACAGTGTACTGTATTTACTTCATTGCTGAAGTGCAGAAGCGTAGGGCTGATATGTTACCGCAAGATGCAGCTCAGCCATTCCTTCTCTTGGTTGACGGACATCCGTCACGTCTGTCATTTTATGCAAACGATTTTCTTCGTCAGTTTAATATTGATTTACTTGTATTTCCTGTACATACAAGTCATATTCTCCAACCTTTACTTCACTTCTGACAAAAAGTGACAAGTTTACATGACAAAAATAGTTTACATGGCAAAAATATATAGGGTATTTTTTTTAAAGTAGTTATCTTTATATATAAAAATAAAACTTTTGATATATTTGAGTAAATGATTTATTAATTTATTTATTTATTTTTTTTAAATCAAATCATATAAATATATATATATATAATAGTGAAATAGAACAAGAGATAATTATTGATGATTAAATTGTAGACGAGGATAAAAGTTTAGATAAATTAATAAAATTAGTGTGGAATCAGACAAATTTCGGGTTGTTTGGGAAGGAATTGTTGGCTATGATGTACTGATTCATGATCAGTACATCATAGCCAACAATTCCTTATACAAAGTTCAAAAACTTGGGTGCAATCAGTTCTGATTGCACCCAAGTTTTTGAACTTTCCATTAACAATTGTTCAATCACATTTATACAACCCAAATCTATACCAATCATACTCTTATTCATACATCATATTTTAAAAACTTTTTTGGAGTGCGGGACAAATTTGCCAAGTGTCACTTTTTCAATAACCTTAAATTACGCTTTCTCATTTTTTAAAAATAACCTTAAATTATATTTGAAGAAATTATGTCTATGATATATGTTTTATGCTAGAATCTTGGAGTTTTCATGCACTACACAAGAGCTCCAAGGTTCCAAGAGTGAATGCTCACTAGCAATTATAGAGATGTACCTTTTCAAAATGACTTTTACTGATTAAATTTAATCAATAGAAGACATTTTGAAAAGGTACCTCTACAATTAGATATACAAGAGATTCAAAGCTTCATTTCAGATAGATTTGAAACTTTGAAACTCTTGGTAGATTTTGAGTGAATGCTGACAATCATCTTTGAGAAGGTTTTCTTTAAGAAAACCTTCTCAAAGAGGTTTCTCAGGAGCCCTGAGGCTCCCTTTCGTAATGATTGGGAGCCTTGGGGCTCCTGCAGCAGAGTATCGCTCCGCTCCATTATTTTTTTTAAAGTGCCGTGTGGCAAATTTGTCCTGTTCCCGCCAAAATGCCGCTAAAATTTGTATACCTATAAACTCAAACTTCAATATATTCAATTTTATTTTTATAATTAATTTAAATATATCCATATAATTCTAATGTTTTCTTTTAATTTAAAAAATAATAATAATTAAAAATAAAAATAAAAATAAAAATAAACTTTTCTATAATATTTATAAAGCTGATTTGATATATAACACATTTAGCTTAACAAAATAACTTAGAAAAATTGCCGCGCAAAATAAGAGTAAGTGTTACTTTTTTGTCACTTTTCTAGTGATGTATTTCGGTACGGAACAATAATTCTTAGATAATACATCCGATATGTAAAGTGTCAAAAATGAATTGAACCGAATTTTCATGCATTACATCAAATAAGTACCTTAATTCATTTGCAAACCTCCCAACAATCTTTGCAAATGAATATGGAAACGCTGTGAACTTTCATTTCTTCAGATATGAAGTTTTCTCAACAATGAGATTCTATTTGCGTAATGAAGTTTATGGAAGAGTGCTATCCAAATGGCTAACACTTCTTGTGTTCTCGGGAAACAGTATTCACCGAATTTGTCTCCCTGCATGATATCAAGACTTGGCTATAAGTCTTTATCCATTTTTGAAAATTGTATTGTAAATTGTAAGAATTTCTGAATACTGCTACTATAAAATATAATTGCTTATCTATGTATATTCTCCCTGCATGATATCAAGACTTGGCTATAAGTCTTTATCCATTTTTGAAAATTGTATTGTAAATTGTAAGAATTTCTGAATACTGCTACTATAAAATATAATTGCTTATCAATGTATATTCTCCCTGCATGATATCAAGACTTGGCTATAAGTCTCTATTCATTATGAGTATGACCCCATTTTTTTACAAAAAGTGCCGAATTGCAACTTTGTCCCAATCTCATTTCAATATTATTTTCTACAATGAAATAACTCTTTATATAGGAATATATAACAGTAACATATTGTATCAATATGTATTATAGTAGTGCATTAAATTTTTGGTCACATCAAAAAAATGTGTCCAAATGTGTTAAATCGGTTAAGAAGCATTATATTGATATAGACATATGATATCCATACCTTGATAGCATGTAGATATATTGTATATTGAGATATTTGAGAAATGATTAATGATGTGCTAAAAATTTGTGTGTTTGAGAATATTTGCGTAATGATATTAAATTTATTAGTGTAATTGATATGAAATGTATATGAATGAGTTAAGTATAGAGAGATTTTTCGTTAATTTTGATAAATGTATATGTGTGTTATTTGTTATATTATATAGATGCATGTTATGTGTATTAGAATGAGTGTTATTGAGTATTCATTGAGGTATTAGAACATCAAAGGTGAAAAAAGTGAAGTTTTTCCGAGCAAACATTGATGCTATAAATTCTATGGTTATCAACTCTATTCTTAACTTTGCATAATAGATAAATATATAACTATTAGTAATATTATGTGGTATACTCATATAGGCTCAATATTAACCATCAAAAAATTTCTTACGTGGAGCACACCAAAAGCATTCAATTTTTATTATATCCCGTGATAGTGATGTGTTATGAGCTTATAATATGCCATAGTTCTGAATTGACTATGGCAGACCATTGAACTCTGAGATTATCGGCAACTATGTCTACTGTTGTTATATGATTTTTCATGCAGTCATGAAGACAAATCCTTATGACTTCCTCATAGTCTGTCGTGGTGCCTCAGAAGTTTTTAAATGAACGAAGAAAGGAGAAGCTTCATATTGGTGAGCGCGTGCATAATATATACTTCGAGGTAATTGACTCTTCCATGCTTGCCAGCATCAATAGATATACCAACGAAGCTGCGTTCCCTGTATTTTGCCATATGATCCAATGAAGTCAATTTATTCAATATTTCTGTTGCATTTGTATACTATTGCTTAGGATTTTTGGGTGTTTGGTAAAGGGTTAACAATCTGAATTTGATCCTTGAGTAGTTTGCGGAAGATATGAGTGTAAGACGCGTCTGGCTTGATGAGAACTATGTTTGCATACTATTGCTTTTGAGTTTTGATGTCTGATTTTAAAATGAAAGCATACCAGGAATTAAATATTGCTGGTTAATCAGAAGAAATAATTAATCAAATATGAATCCTTTAATACTTTTTTGAATAATGAAGTAGATTATATTCTTCATAATTTTGACAATTTTAATCATCAAATCAAAAATAAATTTAATTTATAAGAAAATTTGACAATAATTTACTATTTTTATTTTATCGATTAAAAATTTAAATTTATACTAAAGTATTGAGGTTTAAATATGATTATGAATTTTTTAGAAAAAAAATTTAAAAATATAACCAATCGAAAAATTCAAGCCCATAGTTGGGTGACACCCCCTCATGAAACTGGCACTTTTTAGAGTATTACTTTTTCGTAAATTGTCCATCACTCCGAAGCATGATTTTTTTTGTCGTGAGCCATCGACTGGTACTCGGCAAAAAATATGCCACTTAGCAAAACTCTAGATTTTCCTGTGTACATGTAGTTGCGGTAATGAATTATTATCAAAACAACTCTTGACCAAAAAATTCATGAAATGTACAGATTTGACTTTTTCAAAGATGCATCTAACAAACTATTGGAAAATTATATGGATGTCCGGCAGCTTTTCGTTTCTGGTCAACAAATTCAGCTTGCTGAAATCCAAAAGTTAACTACCAAAAATATATGTATTTAGCATTTTATGAATCAAACAAGAATTGAAAACTTGTAATGATGTTTAATTTTCTATTTTCCTAATTATTTTTTAATTAAATAATGTGATTTTATATTACCCAGATTTTCCTTACTTTTACCACTCCCCATGTAATTTCTGGGGAAAATGATAATTCATTTTTTATGGATGAATAGATCGTTTTCCTAGAAAGGACCTCATATCTCTGGCTAAAAAGAGTGTCAGATCCTAAATAGATTATTGATCTAGTGTACAAATCCAATAAAAAGCCTATTTTTTGGCTTTTTTGGTGCTCATTTTTTCGAAGATCTACATGAATATGGGGAAACCATCGGATTTTTTTGGTTAACCCACATCTTCATGTAGTCTGGACTATCTTTCCTCGAAGGACCTCTTTACGGGTGTAAAAACTCATAAAGTTCTCAAAAGATTCATTCTCGATCTCCATGCTGAAAGAATTTACAATAAAAAAGAGATCTACGCATCAAACTACAGCCATAAATGAACTGAACCCCTAAAGCTCAGCTTTTAGTTTATCAAAAACGTCGAAATCCTTCTCATTGCAATCAAATTTTCTCAATAACTCATAAGAAAAATCGAATTTTGATTAAGCCGATGTTATAGGTATCACAAATACTACAAACTTGAGCAATATCGAAATTGCCAGCAAAAGTTTGAAATTGCATTGCTCATATTTGTTTTGTAAACTAAAAATCTGCTTATATTATTCATTAATTTTTTATATATTATTCATATACTTTAATAAAAACAATACTATTTCACCTTAAAAATGAATTTCATAAGTCAATATTATTTTTTTGAAAATGTATCAATTTTCGATTAAAACAACATGAGAATAAAATTTACGCAAAATTATTTTAAAAAATTGTTTTAAAAATTTCCAATTGATTAAGAATAAGATTGCAAGAAGTTTTGAAGTTTAATTTTAAGAAAAAAAATTCGGATATTATTCATGGATCTAAGTAATCTGATATTTGAGTATCGGCACTATGCATAAAACATATATTTATAGTTTTTTTGGATTTTTATGATTTTAAATATATTCAAATTTGGCAATCCAATAGATTTTTAAAAAATAGGTAAATAAAAATAGATTACATATGCAGCAGATTTAGAACATGAAACAAATCTTATAGTGACCCAAAAAAAAATTCATGATCCAAAAAAGAAAAAAATTGGCTAAATGGGAATCAAACCTTGGCATAATGAATCATTATGTCC